GTGTTTCAAGGCTGTGACCAGGATCATGATAGCCACTTAAGAGAAGGGTGAGGGACTTTGAACTTCAAGGTCCAATTTCAAAATCTAGTTAATAATATGTGTGTTAGTTATGGTTTCCATTGCTGTGGCAAAACACCATGACCCAAAAGCAAGTTGGAGAGGAAAAGGTTTATTTGGCCTATACTTCCTGTCCATCATTGGAGGAAGTTAGGGCAGGAACTCAAGCAGGGTTAGAACCTGGAGGCAGGAGTTGATGCAGAGGCCATGGGAGAGTGCTGCTTACTGGCTTATTTCACATGGGTTGGTCAGTCTGCTTTCTTTTTTTTTTTTTTTTTTTTTTTTTTTAAATATTTATTTATTTATTATGTATACAATATTTGTCTGTGTGTATGTCTGCAGGCCAGAAGAGGGCACCAGACCTCATTACAGATGGTTGTGAGCCACCATGTGGTTGCCGGGAATTGAACTCAGGAACTTTGGAAGAGCAGGCAATGCTCTTAACCACTGAGCCATCTCTCCAGCCCCCCAGTCTGCTTTCTTATAGAACCCAGGACCACCAGCCCAGGAATGGAACCACCCACAATGGGCTGGAGCCTCCCCACATTGATCACTGAGAAAAAAACCTTACAGCTGAGTCTCATGGAGGCACGTCCTCAACTGAGGTTCCTTCCTCTCTGATGACTGTAGCTTGTGTCAAGTTGATACAATTCACGGAGCACAGGTCTCCAGCCACACGCCCCTGGGTGTGTCTGATCTTGGAAGCTAAGATGGGTTAGATGTGGTCAGTAATTGGATGGGAGAGCACATTAAAAAACAACAACAGCAACAACAGAAAACCCTGCCAGTTAAACCCCTTCAGTTCCCATTAATGAAGAAAAAACTGGTTTTTGCTTTGGTGTCTGGAACTGTCTACTCAATAAACACTGATAAATAAATATGATTTTGACAATAACCACATAAAAAGAAATAATGTTGCACGAAGTCCAGGGCAGGGCGAAGAGAAATGGGATCCATCACGAAAGTGAACCTCAATAGGAAATCTGAGTTTTCTGGAACTCTACTTCCTCTGTGTAAATATGGATGCTGCAATTGCTATGGAATGGGCTTTTAGCTCCTGATGGCTTCTAAATCTTACAATTAGTCATTTCTTTATGTGTGTTTGTGTGTGTGTGTGTGTGTGTGTGTATGCACGTGGTGATTTCCTGTGTGTATGTCTAAGGCCATAAGTCAGCCTTGATGGAGGAAGGTCATTGGCTAATAAAGGAACTGCCCTGGCCCATTTTATTGGTTAGAAGATAGGTGGGAGGAGAAAACAGAATAGGACGCTGGGAGGAAGAGGAAGTGAGCTCAGAGACTTGACAGCTCTCCTCTAGGGAGCAGACACCTGAGAGAGACGCCATGCCCTGTTCCCTGGCAGACACAAGCGATGAAGCTCTGACCCAGGATGGACTAGACAAGAATCTCCCCGGTAAGCGCACCTTGGGGTGCTACACACAGATGATTAGGAATGGGCTAAATTAATATGTGAGAATTAGCCTAGAAGAGAATGGGCCAAGCAGTGATTAAAAGAATACAGTTTGTGTGTTGTTATTTCGGGCATAAGCTAGCCGAGCGGGCGGCTGGGGTGCTGGGGTGCTGGGGAAGAGGCCCCGCCGCCCCTAATACTACACAGCCTCTGAAAACTTCCCAGATCACTATTAAGCTTATTTTATGAGAAATGGTCTCAGTATCTCAGTGAACCCGGACCTCCCCAATCCTGGGTTCTACCTGTCTCTGACTCCTCCCCCTCCCCCATGCCCCTGCACCCAGCTGAACTCTTCTTAGTTAGATGCAGAAGGATTTGGACTCAGGATCAGAACTCCATGCAGCAAGTTACTCTGCACACTGAACCATCGACTCACCCCCACTCCATTCTTGTTTTGTCTTTCCATTCTGGACTATAGCCAGGCACCTCTGTAGGAAGTAGAGGCAAGTGCATACTGTAGTAGTTATGTATTTGTGACTTCAGAAATAAGGGAAGACTCTTAAGAGCCTTGCTATGCCAGCAGCAGAGCCATAGAAGTCCTTCCGCTTCACACAGAGACTTGAGCAAGCACGGGAAAAGTGTGCCAAAGAGGAAAATGAGACGTCAAAAGCCAGGAGATTTTATTTATGACTGATTAACAAATGATTAATTCATAAAAGCCATCCCCTCCCGAGAGGGATGCTTTATTTCCCAATTGGACAGTGCCCTGAACATAAATAAGGGACAATCCCTGCTGCCTCTGGAGGAGGAGAGGCTTCAACAAGACCGGCTTGTTCTTGTCTCTATCCTGATTTACCATATGACCTTGGGCAAGCCATTCATCTTCCTCCAATACAGTTTCTCTAATTGTAAAATGGAAATAAAAATACTCACTGGCTTGCTGAAGATTAATGAGACAAAAATGAATGCCCCTAGGCTCCCTGAGGGGAAGAGTCTGTGCTTGAGAAGGCAAAGGACTATTAAGTAATGTTATTGGACTTTTCAGGCAACTTGGGAAAGAAAAACCACGGCAATAAACTCAGGAGCTTTGAGCTTCCTCTTTTAAAAAACAAGCATCAAAAATAAATAAGACACGCAGCTGTTACAACTAGCCCAACATTTCCTGCGTGTTTCTCTAGCAGCTGCTGGGGTTCTAAAAGTCCAGTAGCAGGAAGCCTGGCCCTGGGTTTCTTTCTTCATAGTTCTCCACCCCTTGGTTCTGCAGTGAACAAACGGGAGTGAACGTTTCAGAGATGTATTGTCTTTTTCTGTAAGATAGTGGATAATGTGATTATTTACCACATATGTTTAGTCATACATGGAGATGCTGGCATATAACAACTTCCAAACAAGTATCTGCTGATAACTTCTGTGTCCTTGTAGCAGAATTATTTTGAACCTATTGAAATATTCCCCCCTCCGAAATTTAAAGGTTTTCGTGACAAAGCATTGTGGTCATGTAATGTCCGTGAGGACATTATTTGTGCTTTAAGGACACTAGGAACCACAAAGCCCTCTTCCTTCTGGTGAACAAAACAGGTTTGGGACTTGGGCAACGCCTTAAAATTCCAGCACTTGTACACAAGGGGGCACTGTGAGCCTGCTTTGGCAACGGATGGAGGGCTTGCTGTGATCTGTTAGACAGGGAGGGTCTGTGCTCCCCACAGTCTTGCACAGGATCAGGACCTTAATCCAGGCTCTGGAAAGGGCCACTCGGGTGATCTAGGGCTGGGGACAGAGCAGCTCCACAACTACCCGCGATGTCTCTCTTCTTTCCCCAAATAAAATACCCGCAGCTATTTTTCAAGGTGAGATTCTTGGGTCTAGGAGCTTGGAAACACGGACACCCACTCCCACACATCCTATAACTGTAGAAATACAGGAGCATTTTGGGTCCAGGTCTATCAGGCATTTTCCAGGCCATAAAGATATCATCGGATTTTCAGTGTCCCTGTTCCAAGTGGGTTTAGGCTCCGCCAGTTTCGAGAAAGAGAGACATAGTCCCTTCCCCACAACCTGAAGTCCTGCGGATAGGGACATGACCCTAAAACCACTAGTGTCCACCCCTCTATGTCGTGGCAAGTGACAATCACGGCCCCATTGAGATTTCTTCAGGAAGAAGATAGGAGTCAAGTGAGCTGAGTCTTTACTTCTGTGAAAAGGGAGGGAATTGTTGCCACCTGCAAGGTTTCTTAAGGTTTTATCTTATCCCCCAAAAGATCAGACCCAGGGAAAGGCTGTGCAGGAGCTCGGGTCACCCGCCCCACACCTTCAAAGTTGGGACATTGGCATCAGGAGGAATCTCTGTTGATTTTGTTACTCTCATCTAGACAGAAAGTGCTAGATGCCCTAGCGTTCTTTTTAAAGCAAACTGCATGGTGGTGTATAAAGTAACAGGCGATCCTGGGGCAGGAAAGGGACAGTCTGCTGTGATCCCTGCCTCTGAGGCTGTAAGCCTCACGTGTTCCTGGGCACGCAGCCGCCCACCCGGGGCAAAATGATTGTGATGAGAGGTGGAGAAAAGGCAAAAAGCAGGCAAGATTGAGGGGGCCTGACACAACACGGTGTGTGTGTGTGTCAGGATGGGGGTGGGAGTAGATGGGGGGGTATATGGACCAGGTAGGGTCACGCTGGTCAAGGAGAAAGTAAAAACCATCCCAAACTTTCTCAGATCTGATGGTCCTAGAAGGGCAAGTCAATCAGGAGCAGGAGTGCCCCTCCTGAGGGCCACACGCGTGACTAGCTGTAGCGAGGAGAGGCCGCACGCCCATCGGGCTGGACAGTCCCCACGTTGCGCCCACCCTGCTGCCAAAACGCTGCTGCTCTGGGCACAGAGCGCAGGATCACGGAGGTAGACACACCGTGCGACTCGAGCCTGGCAGCTGCTCCTTAGAAGAGGCATTCTACGTGCATCGAGAAAGGAGAAGGAACCCTGGACTTCACAGCCTCGCTCAGCCCAGTGGGGTGGTGGGGACTTGCCCTTGGACACGCCAGCGAGAGTCACTATAAGCTTGGGAACTGAGCGAAGAGAAATCCAAGGATTCAGAGAAGTCGGATTCAACAAAAATGTCGAAAAATATCAAGGGTAGTCACCAGAGTCCGGAAGCTTAATAGCCGCCGGGTCACTGTGACCCCAGGAACGACAGTGACTGACACGCGCGCAGACCAGGCGCTCGCCCGCATCTGCGGGTCTGCCAGTCCGAGCCGCCTCCCTCGCGTGGAACGTGGGTGCTGACGCCCGCGGCGGCGGCCAGAAAACGACATGCAGCATGCAGCTCGCAGCCCCCGGACTGTCCCGGCTGGGTAAACTCCTGGCCGGCGCGGCGCGACGGTGACCCGCGCGGGTGCGAGGGGTGTGCCCGGCCCCGCCCGCGCGCCCCTCCCCGCGGAGGCCGCGCATCCAGGGGCGGCGCGGAACCGAGCGGCTCGCCCAGCCGCCTGTGCCCGCGAGCGCCGCGCCTGCTCGGGGAATCCACTTCGCGGCTAGACGCTTCTCGCTCAAGCTCGCGCTCTCCCAGGCTGCTTCCCATGGCATTTGCTCTGAGGCCGGATCCTATCCACTAACCGAGAAACTTTTCCAGCCGTTTCTTCTCCTCCACCCCCTTCCAGGAGAGGATTAAAAGTTCCAAGAACTGGTACCGCCAGTGTCACTTGGGTACTCGCCGGTGAGTTCCCAGTCTCAGCCATGTGCACCAACATAGTTTACGAGTGGCTGAAAGCGTTACAGCTCCCGCAGTACGCTGAGTCCTTCGTGGATAATGGCTACGATGACCTGGAAGTGTGCAAGCAGATCGGAGACCCGGACCTGGACGCCATCGGGGTACTGGCTCCAGCGCACCGCCGGCGCATCCTGGAGGCTGTGCGCCGGTTGCGGGAGCAGGATGCGGCCGCCGCCGGCCTTTACTTCACGCTGGAACCTCAGCCGGTACCACCAGCACCGCAGGTGGAAGCGGTGCCACCAGGCCGCCGGGGGGAGTCATGTGGCGGCTCGGCCCAGGGCACTCGCGGGGACCCCCGTGGCCAGATGAGCGCTCCCCGCAGCAGGGAGCTGGTGAGCTACCCCAAGCTGAAGCTGAAGATCATGATCCGGGATAAGCTGGTTCGCGATGGTATCCACCTGAGCAAGCCCCCGTACTCGCGCAAGGTAAGGAGGCGCCCTTTTGGCGGCCTTAGGGACGCGGCAGGTGGACACCAGGCCTGGCGCTTCTCCAGCAACTCGGCAGTTGTCTTGGTGACAATTGAGAAGCCAGGGTATTTGGGGTGTCTGGGACTCTCTTCTGTTTTCTACCTTATCTGTGTATTCTTTCTGTGCTGGCGTCACTAATAGCCACTCCGTGAGTGTCTGTATCTAGACAATTCTTAACTTGACATATGGCACTTTATGGTATATGGGCTTGATTGTCAGGTTCGGGGCAATGGGTACTTGCTTTTGGTGACCCCGGGAAAATCTGAATGCCTCTAGTAGTGTTTGGGTTTGAAGAATACCAAAAGGTTGGGTTACATCTGCCTTATTTTCAACCTTCTGTTTTCTTTTTCTTTACTTTTTCTGAGTTTTGAGAAACTTCAAGAGAAGTAGGTGGCTATTCCCAAGGGAGGAGGGAAATTCAGGTCCTGCTGATCTCTGTTGGTTCCCTGCTACTGAGAAGTGTGCCATTAACAAGGAACCTAAGGGGGGGGGGATGGTAAACACAAAACAGGTGCCCATTCGCATGAGACAGGTTTCCTAAGCGTATTCGGGGATAGTGGAATGCTGAACAAATAGGGTTATTAGACCTTTTGGGATCTGTGGTTATTGATCCAAAAGAAAGGAAGGTAGATCCTTCTAGAAAGTCCGAGTGGACCTGTTTGGGAAAGGACAGAAGGAAGTTGCATTTCAGCGCCCAGAAAGACATTTTCACAGGTGAGACCAGGCTACAAGTTCTCACAGTTGTCCTGTGAGACACGACAACACGAAGGAGTGGGGTTTGAAGAAGTACCAGAAAGTGCATTTTCACAGCGGAGTTCTGTCTGTAGCTCCAAGTGCTTTGGCTTAGTTGAGTATGTCTGTTTGGTGGCAGAGATGCTGGGTTACTCATAGGAAAATGAACATCTCAGGCTGAAAGAAAGGGCCTGGAGAAGCCCAGTTAAAGAGCCCTGGCAAGAACAGGCAGCTGGCCAGGATTGCTACTGCAGCACAGCAAGGGAAAATACCTGTGGGTGGCCCCAGCTCCAGAGGTGCTCTGTAGCCTCAAGGGAAGGTGATAATGCCTAATGGAAGCAAGTTCAAGGGTCGGCGCTTGCGAAAGTAGATAGAGTAAAAAGGAAATGAAGGTTTATTATCATCCACCTGTTATCTTGCAGGTAGGGGAGGCCGCTGAGATCACCTGCCTGATAGCATTGCTTTTGTAAGGATAGGCAAGGAAGGCTTGTCTCAAACACATGTCCCAGCCACCTGCTCTGCTGGTCCCATTGATGGGGATCAGAAATGGAGAGGGACAATCACGTGTTGCATTGGTGGCTAGCCTTATGGGATGCCCAGTGTGGCGAGAAGGATCATGGTGAGCAGAACACACTATTAGTCCAAAGGAGCAGGAGCCCAGCTCAATGATTGTTCCTAATATCCAAGGAGGTAAAGTGAGGTTGCACCAAGAGGCAAGCTAGGGCTGGTTGGGTCTTCAGGACAACTTCAGTGAGATGTGGCCGGGAGGATGGGAGTCATGGGATGGGGGTGAGAGTGGATGGTGTAAAGTATCGCGTTTTGGTTCCGTTATCATAAAGCACAGAATAGCAAGCCTAAACATCGCATTTACAAACTGGAAAGCATTTGAAGGACAGATGCAATGTTTAAGCAGATGCTTTGAGCTATGAGTACTGCTTACAGCATTAAGTAACAAGGCAATGGGTTTCCCTTTCTTTTGGTAGAATCTCTTGTAGCTTAGGAACTCACTGTGTAACTGAGGCTGGTCTTGAACTCCATCCCCTCCTGCCTCTGTCTCTTGAGTGCTGGAATCACAGGAGTGACTATCACACTTAATGACAGTACATTTTTGTAAGTCAGATTTGTATGACTAGAATTCAGCTTGCTGCACGGGCAGTGGTGGCACACGCCTTTAATCCCAACACTTGGAAGGCAGAGGCAGACAGATCTCTGAGGTCTGAGTTTGAGGCCAGCCTGATCGACAGAGTGAGTTCCAGGACAACCGTGACTAAACAGAGAAACCCTGTCTATGATTTTAGGCCTGCACCTTTGCGCATCACTTCCAAGTTTACTTCTACCTTTCTCTCTCACAACAGTGATATTTAATGATAAAACTTGTCCACTTTCACTTTCTAGTTTTTGTTTCAAGACAAACTTTCTCTGTGTAGTCCTGACTATCCTGGAACTAGCTCTGTAGATCAGCCTGGCCTCCAATTTACCGAGATACACCTGGCTCTATCTTGAATGCTGGGATTAGAAGCTTGCGCCACCACCACCCGGCCACTTTTGCTTTCTATATGTTCCTTCTTTAACTGATGGGAAGAATCAAATGAGGACAGAAATGTTCTCATTACCTCCCTCAAAAAGCTCCTTCTGGGGACCAAAAGAATGAAGCTGGAAAACTTTTTTGTAAGAAAGAAAAACACACATAGACATGGGAATCAAAGCATAATTGATACATATTAAACTAAACATACAACCATGAAGTAGCAAATCATATTGCTCATTTGGAATTTGCTGTTTATATGCGATGGCCTCATAAGTTCTAGATTTTCAGTTGTGTGGGAATTTGTTTTCTGATGCAGTTCTTTCTCCCACGAACAGTGCTGGGACTTTTCCTTTAAAATGCGATCACATTGTAGTTCTGATTTTCATGATTTCCTCTGCTCTGTCATGGTCATGATCAGAATGTGCACTGTTCATTATATTGCTTTGGAACTCAATTTGATAGAGCAGGCTTTCTCTACCCGGTAGCCATTAGCATGGTCTATCCTTGGGACTTTGTACTGCAATGAGAATACTGTGTGACATGGAGGTGATCATGCCAAGAATGGTCACAGTAGGGATGACAAACCTCTTGCGAAGAAGTCTGAATTGAGTAATTTTTTTCAAGAACGGCCTGAAGGGATTGTAGAATTTGCATCAGTAAAACAGTCCAGATTTCCTGATCAGTGAACTTAACTTTAAAAACAAACAAACAAACAAACAAACAAAAAAACCAAAAAACAAAACAAAACAAAAAACCCTTTCCTAAGGTTTTCTTTATATTGGAAAACCAAGAGCTTGGGAAGACCAAGCTTCAAGTCAAGAGCACAGAGGACCCCATGGCTGCTCCTTTTGTTTTGTTTTTTGTTTGTTTGTTTTTGGTTAGACATAGTTGTGATTTCTACCTCCGTGATGAGATGTACTTATATGCACACATACACAAACATAAATGCATATAATTTATATATATATATATATATATATATATATATATATTGTGTATATAACTTTTATGTGACTGAGTTTCCCCATTGCATACCTTCTTTAGGCTATAGCTTACTGTGGTTGGCAGGACTCAGGCAGGTATCCTGCCCTCAGATTTGTGAGGCCTAACAGGGAACAAATAGATAAAATCCAAAATTGTGATTCTATGTGTGGCATTGCCTTGCTGGGAAGCATAGGATACCATGAACAGGTGCATCCAACTTATTACAAAAAACTGAGAACATGGGGACATGTTAGCAGAGAAGTCGGAGGAAGTAGAATTCTAGAAACTACTAGAACTCACTAGGAAGCCATAATATTTCAAGGTAGAGGAACTGTTCAAGAGGTCACATTGTGACCAAGTAGGACATTAATAGGGTGAATTTATAGAGTTCTTTAAAATTTTAATTTATTTATCATTATTATCGCTCTGTGTGTGATTTGTGTGTATGGCGTGTGTGTGTGTGGGGGGGGTTGTATGAACCGTGACACCCACGTGAAGACATCTTTGTGGAGTTGATTCTCCTCTTCAGTCTTTCTTTGGGTTTGAGTTTAGGTCAGGTTTGCTCAGTGAGCTCTTATTCTGCTTAGCCGTCTTATTCTGGAGAGCCTTCCGGAGTTCTTCCCTGGAAAATGTTTCCTTGTTTCTCTACCAGTGGAAAGCTATTTGAAATGGAGTAGCTTTATTTAATAATGTTGTAGGAATGTTAGCAGTCATTCACACATTAGTATAAATTAAATTAACTCCGCAGTAATAAGGTTGTGAGGGATACTCAGAGGAGGTAGTCCAAGATGAAGAAATTTGGAGAGACGATGTTCCTACAAAAACTTCTCTGCATGGAGGGCACAGAGCATTAGAAAAGAAGATATTCTGGCAAAGACATGCTGTGTCCTTTGGAATTTTGCCTGGGGTCTTGGCAGAGACAACATGACAATAAATATTATTCCTCCCAAGAATTCTTTCTGCCTCTGTGACATTACCAAGACAGATTGGAAGCTGATGAGCTTCAGTTTTTCCAGTTCAACCAATATCCTCAAGTCTAGATCCTTCTAGGCTTTTTTGGTTTTGGTCCAATTGGAACAACACTGGAAAGAAGAAATGAGAGGACACAAGAGCTGATGCTTTTTTCATGCTCTCAACAATTTACATACAGCATAGAGAAGGACATCCCACATCACCTCCCCTTTTCTGTCTAGATAAAAAGGACGGTTTTAACTTTAACATAGTAAAATTACATATAACAAAACACTTATCAAGCAACAATTTTATTTACATTATTTAGTCCATTTACATTTCACAATTAAGGAAAATACTCTATCATCTATCCTATCATTGTGAGTCTTAGGTTTTACATCTAATTTATTTTTATCATAGTTAAAGAAAACTGTAACTATTACTATCTATTCTTCAACTCCATCAAAGATTCCAGAAAGATACAATACTACCTAAGTTAACAGGAAGTGTATTGTAAGCAACTTTCAAAACTCTAAAATTGACAGGGACATCTTGCTGCCAAGACATCAATGCCTTGTAACATTGTGGCATCTGTCTTCAACCTACAGGCCCATAATATCCAGAAGACTTTTCCATGAAGCAGGAAATTTCAAAGACAGTTCCACCTATATTGGCAATTTGTCAGTCACTTTCTTCTGTGTCCTACAGAATGTCTGGCAGACTCTTTCATGAAACAGGAACCCTAAAGGACCATCTCCCCTTT